AATTGGGAAATTTTTTTTTTTTTGGGGTAGTTGAAAAAAAAATTGCTTTTTTTTTTTTTTTTTTTTTTTTCAGTGGCCCTAATCCTCTTCCGTATAATTCAGACATTTGTATGTCTGAATTATATATTTATATGTCTGAATTATATAGATTGCAGTTTCACATCTGCAATCTGTGATACCACTGTATCACAGTTTTTTATTGTATAATTTGTTTTCAGTGCATTTTTTCTGTCCACCTTGAATTTTCCAGCTTGTTTTGCTAATTTATTTGAAATGAATTTATTAAACAAAGCAGTATAAATAATACTAATATCCGTGAAATAATTCCAGCAGTGAGAACTATTCTTTATAACTTCAGACAAAACACTGTTAGCCCAAATGCTAAATCTCAGAAGAATGTCCCTTTTGGGCTTCCATCCAGCAGACCACTTCTCAGTAGGGTTGTCACACTAAGTGGACAGTTTAATCCAGTATTTGGAGCTTTTAGCCTCTAAATTGTCTGTTTAAAAGCATCAGTGTCAAAAGAGTGAAAAACAAGTAGGGAATCATCAGCATCATCAGGCTTATATTTGGGTTTTAAGCAGGGCAAGTGTTTTTTTTTTTTTTACTACTCTATCTCATCAGTCTATAATAGATATTAAGGCAACATCCTTCTTCTGGTGGGTCCTTAAATAATTATAAACTGTAGCCTTTGCTACAGTTTCACATCTGCAATCTGTGAATATCACTGTATCAAAAACCTGACTAAAGCCAGGTTTCAAGCTAACATTAAGTCTAGTCATGTCTGTAAAGTATGTGAGCCTGTCATCTCCTCTCTGTATCATATCTATTCTTTTGTTTTGCCACATGTGCCGTTATTCCTATTTGTTGATTTTCTTTTGCTTCTTTTGTTTGTTTCTTTGTCCTTTCTGCCATTCACATCACAAGTACACCCTGTCCTCAAGGCCAGCATCAGGTTCTTTCTGTTCTGTCACATTTTGTGTCCCATGAAATTATTTTTCTTTCTGATAGCAGGTGTAGCTCTCTGAAAAACACATTTGTCTGTCTGCTATAAAATTGTTTGTCCGGTGATTCTTCTTTGTAAATTGTTTCTCTTTGTTGCTTTACTATGTAAGATTATTATAAAATTCCCTCACTAGTCCTTTTGACTCTTTTGTTCCTTTTTAACCTCCTTCTCCTCTTCCTGTCTTTGTAACCATTTAGCTTTTATTTGCCAAAAGCTTTTCCCATACCTGTCCTCTTTTCATTGTTGGACTTAAACCCTTGGAGATGACATTAATAATTTCCTAGATTTAAGACCTGATTAAAATAAGCTTAAACAGAAAGTTGCTCCTTGCACAAGTGGAACTCCATGTTTGATCATTTAAATGAGGATAAGAGCAGACTTCCTTAGATACACTAATAATCTACACGCTTAGTAAATTCAATAAAGTTCAGATCTTTTCCAAATCCTCAGACAGTGACTTTGGCATTTCTTAAAGGTTAGTTATCTAAATAACATTTAATAATATTCCAGATTATATTAGGAAAACTTTCTTTTTCCTTTGATGTTTCTGTCTGGGATCATTTCTCTTTCACGTTCCCTTGGAGTAAAGTGAGTCAGTGATTATATATTTTTATGATCTCTTCCTCTCTGCCTCTTTGAGAGCATGAATGAGCACCTGTCTGCTAGTCTTGGCTCTACATTAGTGTTGGGGCCTGGAGCTGCCTGATCTCACATGATGGAGTGGAACACAGTACAGAAAAAGCAGGTGGAAACATCTGAGCATACGTGTCCTTCAAAGATACAAGACCTGACTATAAAACTTACACATCTTTTGTCAAGTTAAATTACTCTGTTAATAATTAATGTCCCCTGAAGGCAATTTGTTGTCCTGCTTTAAATTCATTCCATAAAATCTAAAAATAAGTTCTTAGATCGGTAGGTATAAAGTGACAAAATGTGAATTAGTTTAAGAGATATGAATGTTTTTGCAAAGCAACTGTCATCGTCACAAAGGAGCAAACATGGCGAGGAATGCTATATTTGTAATATAAACTGTACAGTACAGTGAAATATTATAAAAACAAAACCAAAGGAAGAATTGATCAACCAGTTATTACAAAACCTAATTCTCATAACTAATGTTTTTTTTTCCTTTGACATGGTTGCTTTTATCTGTTGTTCCCAGAACGGACAGCTGCAGCAGCGTTTGGACAACGTCCAGAGGGACTTCATTGTCTTCAACAGAGAAAAGTAAGGAAGCTTGCAGACCTCCACTACAACCCCCCTGGTCAAAGAAACCACACTAGCAGCATTTACTCTGAAAATATATTACTGGTAAATAATTAAATACATTTGAGACCAAGGGTAAAGATTCAAATTCTACAATTTTTAAACTTGGGTGAAGCATATTAAATTAAATCAAAAGTGTGCCTTGGTAGCTGATAAAATCATATGGGATGCTGTGAAAGAAAAGTAAAGCAGATTTTTTATGGTATGTTTGTGGGTGTATGATCAAGACAAAAACACAGCAACTGGTATCAACAGGAGCCTTCCTGTTGACTGCGAGGTGGAGGAAAAACACTGCAGACAAGAAATAACATTTTTACTGGCTCTTTCTAAGTATACAAATGTGGAAGGCAAATTAGAAAACTTCAAAGTATTGACAAAAAGGTGAACTTGAGCAAATTCTTCATTCTTTCTGCTTTTATAAATTTCACTCTCAAAAAAAAAAAACCTTTGGATGCAGATATTCTTGTAGTGACTGAAACCTGAAAACTGAAAGACCAAACAATAAAGTTACATTAACCAACACAATGTTTTCCATTAACTGTAGCTTTCTCATTGAAAAAACACTAATAAAAAAATACAAAATCAGCATAAAAATTGTTAAAAACATTAGGGATTTGCAACTTTGATGAAAATAAAATATTAGAAACAACTCAGTGATGAATTATTAAATTACCAACTAAAAATCATATCACATGGACACATGGATGCATTTTAGAGATATACAGCTGTGGGGTGGAACTATGATGAATAAATAGGCTCATTAAAATGTGACATGAGTGAAAAATCATCTGCTCAACATTAGATTTTTGTTCTAATCTCAACAGGTCAAGGAAAGTCGTAGTGGATTCTTCTGAACTATCCACAAGCGAGAAGAACAAGGCAATAGAGGACGGACAGAACAACAATGTTGAACCAGCTGCCTATTTATCAGGATAGGCTTCCTGCTCCCAGATCCCCACCTCATCACTTGCACTTGCCTCAAGCTTGCAGTTCAGCAACTTACAAGCAAAACCTATCATTCTGTCAGCACATGCACTCACACCTGGTCCTCTATGTTCCTGCACTCCTCCATAGTCTGTAAAATCTCAAGAACAGCACTGTGCACACTTGTTTCACACCATTAGACCTAAAAAGCAGCTAGGCGTCAAAAGATGGTGTCCCTGGGAGGCAGCCATGTCAGAGACTGACTGACGGACTGCTTTGCTGTCACCAAACGGATGGACTCCCAGCAGAGTCTCGTATCATTTTCCCTTCCGTCACCCTGGTGCTCTTACGTCTGCTCAGCCTCGGTTCTGAGCAGAGTGCTGTAGCAAGAAGTCAGATCATTTCCAAAACCAAGGCAGCAGAGCACCTCCACCTGAATGTACTGACACTGGTTTTATTATGAGAGGTTTTCTAGGTAACTATGGTCATTTAATTATAACATTGCAGTTGGTAGTGCTACATAATGGAGCTGTAATTTCACAGAAGGTAAAGGTTATTTTTATGGAAAGAAGACGTTTCTTTCTGAAAATGTACCAAAACTTACTAGGTACTTTCCATAATGAACTGTGTTTTTTTTTTTTTTTTCTGTAGCTGTTTTTGGTACCTTCCCTGAAGATTTTACAGAACTTATCAGACACTTTCTGGAACATATTAGTTAATTTCCTGAAACTCAAAGCTATATTTGGAACCTTACGGGTATTCTAGTGAGTTCTGAATGGTAACCTCTAAGTTTATGAAAGTATCCTCTAAATTAAAGTAGTTAAGTTCAGGAGAAAAACTTGTAATTTCCAGATACTATCTGATACAGCACATTGAGAAAGTATTCACCCCTCTTGGCATTTCTTGTGTTTTCTAGCTCACAACCTGGAAAAGGGGATTATTTTAGGATTTGCATCATTTCATTTAAAGAACATGCAGCTTTCAACATTTCATTTTGTTTTTATTGTGAAACAAACACATTACATCTGCAAGTCATGCTGGATACGTCTCTAAGAGCTCGCCTCGTCTTGCTGCTGGGATTGTTGCCCATTCCTCAAGATAAACCTTCTCTAGCTCTAGATGGTTTCCGGTGGTGAACAGCAATCTTTAAGTCTGTCTGCAGATTGTCAATTGAATTGAGGTTTGGCCTTTGATTAGACATTACCAATACATTTAAAACTTCCCATTAAACCACTTGAGTGGAGCTTTAGCAGTATGCTTTGGGTCATTGTCTTTTGAAAGGTGAACCTCCGTCCCAGTCTCACATCGCTGACAGACTGAAGCAGGTTTTACTTCAGAAAATTCCTGTGTTTAGCTCCATTCATCTTCCCCTCTGTCTTTTCTTGGGGTGCTGAGATGTATTGATTATGAGCCAGACATAATGGTTTCCTTGGTGACTGAAAAGTGAAGTTTTATTTCTCCCATAAAGCTCAGCTCTATGAAGTTGGTCATATGAACAGATACTCCAGTAAAGCTTAACACAAAGAAATATCAAGATTGGTGAATAGTTTCTCATGGTACTGCAGGTTCAGGAAAGAACATGGTATGTCTTGCTATGTAACCTAGAGGTTATTGAAAACTATCTAATAAGTACCTATGAGTAATCTAGGTACTTGTCAGACAATTTTCCAGAAAATGCCAGATATGTTGTGGAAAGAGTCTGGTAAGTTTTGGAAGGTGACATCCGAGTCCCAGGATAGTAACGTGTTAGTTCTAGGAAATATTCAGTTCGGTGGAATAATCTCTGCATTCCAGAGAGTAACCTGAAAGGTCTGCAGGAACATGAGCTGTCATGTAGCGCCGCCAACTTTAAAGTGATTCTTCATCCTGTGTATGAAAGCCTGAAACATTTAATAATAATAAACCATTGCACAGAAAAAGTTTTCCTCTATGATCCATATAACATTGGATACAAGCATGACAGAAGTAGCATTATTAAACTGCTAGTCTTATTAGACAAAACCAAACTTTGATTTTAGCGATGTAAGAATGATTCGAATTCAATTAGAGGCTTGAAAATGAATGGCTTGCTTTTTTCAGGGCAATATTTAAATGGTTAGTGATCCTGATGCTTAGCTTGGCTAATTAAGCTAACAGTGATTATAGGTTTTTAACACTTAGTGTCATGCAGCATATCAGACTGTCAGAGAAAAAAGTTAAATTTTTGTGATTTACTCACAGTTGAGGTTTTTAGTTCTAGAAAAATTTGTTTGTGGAATCAAACAAGAAGATAAAACATGATTTAATCTTGAGGGAAACTAGGAAACTAAATGTTACCGTAATTGATTACCCTTGACCAAGAGAATTAAAAAAAACAAACTTAGCCTTGGTCTGCAAATGACCTACTAGGGAAGCAAAGAGAAACCAATTGTTGTTTTCTCTTTTTGCACATGTTGTTTTCATTATTGGTAGCATTTATGCAACTAATGCTATAAATGAATAAATCTTAGGGATGGACAGATGAATTTCATCAGTTAGCGTCTGCACTCTCTGCCAGATGTGTGTTGATGTATTTCCTCTTTTGAGTTGATTTTAATCAGTTATTTATCATTTGAAATGCTCATTGTCAGTTTGTCTCTGCAAACTGTTTGTATGATATTCAGATCCAGGATTCTGCGCCTGGCACACATGTGAGGCAACAAAACGTTGTCTAGTTATTAAAATAAACATTTCTCATCAGCTCATCCCCTCAAAATATTTGCCTGCTTGCACAAAGAGGGATGCCTTATAGATATCACACTAAGCTAACTCCTGTATGTAAAAGTGATGAAATCCCCACCTTTTTTCAAGCTACTAAATAAAAATATAAACTTTAGCGATGACTCCACTGACTGCTGTTGTCTGGCTGCAATGTGAGTCAGTCCTTTCAATCTTCTTTATTATTCTTTATTAACTTTAAAATAAATTTAGTTAAATTCATTAGTAATGGCACTTTTCTATTTAAGATTGGTACAATGTTTTGACTTACCTTTGTGTTCTTGTTGTTCTTGTTGAGGTACTTTACAGATCTAAAGATGGTACCTTGTGTAAGTTGGGATAGCTAAAGGATTAGTATGAGCCTGTTTTACTGTGTAAATAATATTTGGGGAACAATTATTCAAACTTGTACATTTAAAGTAGCATTTGACTACTAAAAAGGGGGAGTGTATTGAATAAAATGAGTGATATTCAACCAAAATGATTTCTGGCATTGACATTTGAATAACATTTACAAATAGTATTTATGCCGGGTAAATCAAATTAAAAGGGAGGATTCTTTATCCTAAGCATAATTCTAGTCTATTATTTGATAAGAAAATTGTACAACTGTGAATTTTACCCATGTTCTGTTGTCCTTCAGTTGTCCTTCAGTTGTCACTGTGTATTTACTGTGAGCAATTGTGATGAAGTTTAAACTTTTAATGTGTGCCTTAAATAATATATTTCATTTTTGGAAACAATACACCTATGTTGTTTGCTTTGTTCTAGTGTATTGAATTATTTTATTACTTTTTTCATCAAAGTGCAGGCTGCCCTCTAGTGTTGTTTGACTGGTGTTACAACAAATGGCTCAAATGTGGGGAGTCTTGGTATGACTGCTGAGAATATTTCACTAAAGACAACATTTTAAATAAATAGTTAAGTAAAAAGTGCATTTACTTACATGAGGCATCAAAAAGACTTCCTCTTTTGCTGCAGTTGACAAGCTTTATGAGCTGTTCTCTCCCTCTTACACACACTCATCCACTGTTTACGATTTGAGCTAACTGCTCCCTGAGGTCATCTGGAGGGTACGGCCCATTCCTTCCTCCACTGCAGACTTCGCTGAGGCAGCGCTTTCCACAATATTGGCTCAACTAGAGAGGGGATTTTCGGTTGATAAATGCTTCCACTTCTGACTGGCACTGCTGCAGATAAGCAGGCCACCTCAGCATATAAATTAGGCTTTAAGATGTTTAAAGTAAAATATGAGACAAAAATTTTGAAAAGAAATGTATTCTGAGATTTGCTGCCATATTCCTGATTAAAAAAGGGTTGCTACATTGTCTTCAACACAAAATTTGATGTTCTTTCATCCATTTTCTATTCATGATCTTAACTTGAAATCGTAAGTTTACATACATCAATTAAAAAAAAAAAACACGCACACATTTTTTCTCACTGTCTCAAGTTAAGTCAGACCAAATTTCTTTAGTTTCAGTTTAGTTAGATTTACGTAAATTAATTTCTGTTTGGTTGAATGTGAAGGAGGCTAATAAAATTCTAATTTTGAAGACATTAATAAATACATTTGTGACATATTCTCTCATTATTGTGGCATTTTGTAAGTAGAAATAATTGCGGTAATTCTTACCTAAAACAAGAGAAGTTTGGTCTGATTTTTAAGTTCAGACAGTCAGGAAAATAAATGTATGATTCATTTCACTGAGTGTATTTAAACTTCTGGTTAACTTTATGTGAAACGCTACATTGAGTCTAATGTCTAATGTTCAAGGCATAAGTGGGATGTTTGTGATCTGTTTAAACTTTCAGTGAAAATAAATACAGAAGTAAAATGTAGAAGTGTGGAGTGCAATTACTATTCAAGTCTTCTTAATAGTAATGTCAAAACAATGGATTTTTCCAAATAAATTCATCCCATGAACTAATCTTGTAACCACATTTTATCCAAGTCTAACTCCATTCTAGATTGTTTCTTCTCTTTGTAGAAAACTGATGGATTATGTAGACAAACCAAAAATAAATCAAATCCGTCAAGTCATTTAGTTTGAGAGTATATTATATTCTTAATATTTTATATTATAGCCTGATTACATTGACAGTGGTTCTGATGACCTTAACCTTAAAATAAACCAAAACAACTACAAGGAACAAACAGGGAAAGACCAAAGAAATGAAATAAAGAGATAACACCAGCTGCAACTCATGTTTATTCAGGAAACATTTCATACCAGCACACCTTTAAATGACCTGCCATCTCAGAGTTCTGACACAATCGTAAAAAAAAAAAAAAATTAAAAGAAACGTAACAACAAAGGTTGTCATCCTAACATAAATACAAGAAGACCCACATCTCATCTCAGCCTTAGTGTGCAGAATAATAAGAGCATCTTGTTTCAATTGTCGCCAAATAAAGAGAATGGATTCCCTGACGGCACCGTCATCCTCTGCCTTATCAGAAAATAGGCTGGTTTACTTTCAGGCTGCTGCTGAATGTGTTGAGGATTTTATTAAAGGGTTAAGGTGGATCACAAGTGAATGATGGTCTTCCACTTGTCCTTCAAATGAGAGCCGCGCTAGTTAAAAATAAAACAAATCAGTAAAGAGCAGTAATAAGAGAGCTATTTTTTACCCAGCAAGTTTAGAGTTTGTATTTATTTGTTAGCACCTTTCTGTTCCATCGTTCTGTTTTGTAGAAATGGTCACAGCGTCACAGAGGCAGCCAGTTTACATGAAGCAAATGCAAAGGACTGTTTCTTGCCATGTTCTTTACGCAAGAAAATGAAGGAACGCAAAATAATAAAATCTGACAAACCTTTAGGGAATGAAGAATAATAAAAACACTTCTAATATTTCCTCTTTCTTTGTGTTTTCTCAAACACTGATCTTATTGTCTTTTTTAACATCAATACAGTACATAATGAGGACGGTAAGTATGGCCTTACAGGAGGAGGTGGGAAAGGATCATGGATCACGTCACCCATATTAATGTGGCCCATGCAGCTCCATGTCCAGCAGCCCTCCTGTGTTTAGAGGTGATAAAAGAATTTAATTGGTCCGGTAAACCCAAACAGGCTGCAACCACATCATTCACAAAGCTACATTACATCTACCATATGTACATTGCCAACTAGAGCTAATCAATGGTACTGCATGACAAAACATGGCTATTGTGGGATCTATTGTTCAGTCTTGCTGACTATGGAGAAAGCTCGCTACTGAAAGGGGTGATATTAAAAGCCAAGCAGGGTAAAAGGAGAATCCCTAGAAAATCAGTATCCATTTTCCTTTGAAAAACTTTATTTCCTTCTCAAGGTTAAATGTGATGATGTAAGGTTTTACCAAAGTACATTAGAACATGGCTGTGTGGTTGGTATGAAGTATTCTGCACTGACATGAACTGAGGCTGACATTGTTCATGTGAAATGTGCTTTGTTGGCAACTTCTGTTTCTGTTCTTTCCAGGAAAACGGATACAATTCTCATCTGAGCATAGTAGCAGTGTGACAGGTAAGGCATGAGGATTCAGTGTTTTGCTCTTCAAATTTTGACTAACTCTGGTCCTCTGTCCCTTTTTCCCTCCCCTCCCTCGTCCCCTCCCTCTATCGTCCACTCTGTTCTTCTAGAAGTGTTGTCCTGCTGTTTAACTGAGAGATGTGATGTTGGACCGACCACCAGGGGGCACTACAATACGGCGACCAGGTGGCCTGATGGGAGCGTCCTCTGGGGTGGGAGGACCTACACAGGAAGAGAGAGTTAAAACGTTACGTGACAAAGAAGAGGCAGTTATTGATGGTATGTTAAATATATATTTAAGTAAATTACCACAAGCTTTAGTAACTAGTTAGTCTCTTGCATTCAAATCAATAAAAAGAGAATATTAAAGATCTAAAAGGCCTAAAAGGTTAGGAAAAAATATTTTCCACACCCAATGTTCTGATGTTACAGTTTGTGTTAATGTGTGGTTGTAACATGACGAGATGTGAAAAAGAATATGAAATAATGAATAAATGTTTATTGCCATCTCTGACAATGTTATTCTTTACATTCTCCACAAATCTGTAAATTAAACCTGAGGTGAACTTAAGCCTATTTAGTAATATTTGATTAAAAGATCTGAGATGAGTAAAGCAGTTTTATTCCAACTAGATTTAGTAGAATTTATTTCTTAAACACAATTTTACCAACACTAAACAAATAGCCTGCAAAATCAAAGAGGACATATACTTTTATGACTTAATTATATATTTTGTGATTATACTATACATGGGAATAGGGAATGATATCATCCAATCTTGACATTGTGTTTTGGAAAACTTCTAGTTAATGAACCGAGAAAATGCTTTGCAAAACTTTAACACACAAACATCAGTGATTAAATGGGTGAAACCAACTTAATTCACTAACTTACATAACCAGATGGATTTGTCAATTTGATTTATTTGCTTACCTAATCAAATCTGATTTAAAACAATCAAGTCTGTGAATAATAAATACAGCACTTTTACCAACATTTTGTAGCAGTGTGAATGGAGGGCTGTGGTGATTTATAGACTGACGCAGGCCTGCATAACCATTACAGTGTCACGAAACTGCAGCCAAAATCAGAATCTGGCACCCTCCTCTGGAAACCAGCGACACCATTTGTCAGACTGTTTAGATTTATGTGCTATTTAAAAGCTCTTTCTAAGTTGGCACAAAAATAATTCTTACTGAAAATATTTATTTCTCAGATTGTTTCCCTGGATATTTACACTGTTACATTTTGCAGCATCAGTTCTATAGAAGCTACAAGATTCAAAGCCTGACATTGTAGTATAGTTTCCAAAGGACGAGCCAAAGGCCGACTCGAATAATCTGCAAACACAACAATGGAAAGCAGAATGATGTCAGACCATGAAACACTGTGACTAATCAAACAATCCTCTCCATCTCCTTCCAAACAAGTAAATCAACTCTGCAGGTGGTAGCTTCACAAAAACTAAAATAGAAGAGGACTAGGACTCATTCTCAAAATATGCATACACACACACATACACACGCGCACATATGCTTACACAAGATCACGCAAACTGTTGCAAAACCTGGGAAACCAGGAGCAGCCTCAGATATATGTAATCAAAGTTGGAATTCTTTCCAACAAAGGTCACATTTCTCCAGCGAGGTCTCACTCGTTAGCTTTGCTTGTAAAGACAAGCTATGCATTCGGCTAAACTTCTTTCAAACTGAGTTATTACCTATAAAAAAATACAAGATTACAAAAGCTGAAATGATTTTTCATCTAATTAAAGAGCAAAGATTGTCACAATTTGGCAGTTTGGATGAAACATTTACTAACGTTTCTTGTCTCAATCTAAGTCTGTTCTGTGCTAACATGACATATGGGCACAATCATGCTGTCATGCTGGAGCTCTGTATGATGGAACAGATGCCAAACAGTGATATTACTGTGACCTCACACATCAGACTGGCCTTTCTAACAGAACAGGTCAAGATGTTTGGAATGGAAAAGTTTCAGCCTTGAAGGAAAATGTATCCAGAATCACTTCAAATGCAGTTAGAGCATCAGTCAGGAAAACTTCTCTTCACTGTAACTTACACAGTTTGAAGAAGTTGTACTTAAATTATGCTGATCTGATCTTACTAAATTTAATAAGCAGGTACCAGGAAACAAAAGATATCTTGTGCTTTTACCCATTGGCCAGTTTCTGATGGACAGACAACAAGAGCAGAAGATTGCCTTTGAAAAGAGAAGTTGGGCCTGAACTTTTATACTTTGCCACAACATGAAGGCTGACATTTAGCAAATTACCCAGAAGTCCTCAATCACTCTAATTCCATGTTAAATAAATTAATAATTAAGTAAATTAAACCTTAGTAATCTTACTACTTACTTACTATCAGTACTATTGCTATCAGGAATAAAATATCCTGATCAGGAAATCCTTGTTTTAGTTTTTAGGATAGACTAAGATTATCCACGTGGATAATTAATACAATGTCTAAAATGGAAAAACAAAACCACAGTTTCAGTTTAGAAATTAATTTAACAAATAATGTACGAGAACAAGATAATAAAAGTAATCATGAATGCCACTAATGCTTCACATTACAGCTAATGTCAATATTAGGAGAAACTGAAGCGCATGTATTCTCTCTTTATGTCAGTACATAAACGGCAAAGCAAAGAAGAGCACAGAGATGGTTTTTCTTGTAGGATGCCTTGGTATGGCGTTACCTGCTAGACTGAATCCAGACTGGTGCAGGTTTCTGACCGGCTGCTTGGTGGGCGAGGTGCGTGCCGAGGCGGAGGGGGTGCCGCCACGGGACATGGAGAATTCAGACACGGGCCCGTCGTACATTCCTCTGGGCACTGCCCTCAGCACAGCCAGCTGCAGGACAGACACGTGTTAGACATGGAGGAGTAAAAACCTGACAAAAATGAGGATTCACAACGGTTTCAACGGGTTAATGTTGGTGGACTTTTATGACAAAATACAAATATAGATTCACAGTCTCCTGGAAAACAGAGACTCACACATATTAACTGTGCAGTATACTTTTGAGCAGAAAAAAACTAAATACACACACAGCATGTATGTGTTCAAATGAAGTGAATGTAAATGAAAAAGCTATCATTTTGAAGGTCTACCCGCCGGTGTGGTGACTCAGTGGAATCTTGGAAGTCTGTTAAAAGTTAAAATGAGACATCTGTGATCCATAAAGGCAAAACAGTAACTGCTACCAAGATAAACAGCACACTGTTACTGCAGCTCCATTTTCTCATTAACAGTCAGCTGCAAATTAGGAAACGTCTGCAAATGTGAATCCTCTGGCACAGTATGGGAGCGGAAAACAGGCACCGCTTGGTATTATTCAAATGAAGTTGTTTCAATGTTGCTAAGTTTTATTTATTGTTATTGCTTTTCTTCCACTGTCCTTCAAATAGTTTCCAGCTATTCAACAAAATATATATAAATTTTACTTCACTGCTGAAACTGACAACAAAAGACTACTGCACACAATAAATATAAGCTGCCATAATATGTTTCTGGATGATTCAAGCGATTTACTAGACAGCAAAACATTGTTCAATAAACTCCCTCTAAAGCACTCACCGTCCTCCTGGCCTTTCCTGTGATGAAAGTGAGATTGCTAAAAAGCTTTTGGAAAACTGTCAGGAGAAAACTCCAGACGTTACACCGAGAGCTCAGCTGGCCACCAGTCGGTTGGTTTCCAGCTCGACTGGCCGACAGGCAGAGGGCTGGCTTCAATCTCAAAAATCACATCTTTTTTCAATCAGTGAACACAAACATAAGCAATACCAGCTTTTGCTGAGATCAACAATCTTCAGTGTGCATGTTGTAAATGCAGGAAGAAGACTCAGCTACTATCATGGAGGTGAAGTTAAAAGAAGAACAAAAAGTCTAAGATAATATTTAAAAGAAAACAATAATTTCAGCTGTTCATTCAGGCTTCTCTGCTCGTTTTGCTCGTTTGAATTCATATTTTTGCAGATTTGATAAGTTGTTTGGTAGAAAAACCTGTCAGGATTTCTACAGGTACTGTTTTTTATTGTCCTAATGTAATCCACAATTTTCTGACACAGAATTTTGGGTTTTATTATCTGTAAACAAAAATCACCAAACAATTAATCAAGGCCTGAAATATAAATATAAAATATCCATTTAATATATGAGTTTTCCTTTCTTGTACCTATATTTATTTGTTCCTGACTTTAGGACATTTGATTGAGTTGAGAAAAAAGAAAACAGACCAGGAGTTAACATCACAGAAAACAGAAGTTATGTCAACTATAAATCATATTTTCTTTGTTTCTTTGCTCTGAGTTCCTCTTTCAGACACACATGGTATGACTTTTCCTCACCTGTTCTCCAGAAATGAATAAATGACTGCTTAAGGAAAGGATTAAATAATACTGTTTAACACTAAACACTAAATGCAGTTCTCCAAGAGAAATGTGAATTGACTATGACCAAAAATCGCAGAATACAGCTTTAAACAAATTGGTTGAGTAAATGTTAGTAACTGTTGAGTAATTTTAGAAAGAGAGAATTGTCTGTTCATCATTCCTTTTGTAAAGTTTTACCAGACCTGGAGGTGTAACTTTACTTAATTTAATTACCATCAGTAATTAACTAACTTGTTGAGTTAAACTGCAAATTGTTGTAGATTTGTAGCCTCAAAAATGTATAATTATCTATCTGAAGCAGTAACTAAGTTATTCACCTGCTTCCTGGCTTTGATGCGCTTGTAGGCAAAGTCTGGGAAGGGGGGGCAGGGAATAAAACGTCCCACTCCAGAGGTGACATGAAGGTTTCCGTCTTCCAGAACAATCTTTCCTTGGCATATCACCACCAGCGGCGCACCGCGCAGCTCCATGCCCTCAAACACATTGTACTCAGCAGCCTGAAACACAAAGAAAAGGATTTTAATGAGAAATTAGCTGTGAATTTATGGACACCTTCAAAAATGTTGAGACATTCTGGAGGAACAAACTCTTCCTTTAAACCTTTACTGGCCCTTCCTTCCAAAATATCACTTTGTTAAGCTTGATGTTTATTATTGTTATTATTATTATTCAACCTTTGCTCCCTTTTTTCAGCCTTGTGTATTTTCTATCTCCTCCAGATTCTCCTTTCTCAGCGTGTCTGTGATCTCTGATGGTTTCCTCCTCCTGTTCCATTGTTCCATATTTCCTCCAGTCCACCCCCCCCCCCCCCCCCCCCCCCCCCCCCCCTCCCTCTCTTTTTCCTTTTC